GGAGGGGTGAGTAAGAGGGGCAGCTGCGGTCATGTGTGGTTACTGCATTGGTCGACAACGAACCATATATGAGCTAGTTACTAGAGGATTACTGCAGGATGTAACTTCTGCGGCCGGCCTAGTTACTGACCGGGAGCTAGTTACTGCCCGGGGAGCTAGTTACTGCAGGCGTAACTAATGGAGGGGATAAGTGCTGTATGACATATTTACTACGTGGTTCGAACCTAATGGTTAGGTCCGTCCCTACAGCGCGATCTGCGGTAAGACCCAGTTACTGCCGGAAGTAAGTGAAGTGAAACCTGACCTGCTTAGCTGGCAAATCTGTTATACCCTCCTTTTCGTTAATAGGCTATTGGGTTCTTTGATAGTGTGGGGGGGGTACCAATTCTACTTCAGAATGGAAGTGCACAATGAGCAAATTATGTTTTGAGCTAGGCGCTGCAGCAGGAGCGAACTGTTAGTACGACCTTCCTGCTGCAGGAGGTGTGACCATACACCTCAACCTAGCTATTGCAGGATTGAACTGCATTACGACTTGATTCACCGCATGCAGAAGGTCGGCTCCCTGTCTGGGTAGTTGATACTTTCTCTTTAAGTGATTGCTGCGGTGCATGTTCTTGTTCTTTATACAGCAAGGGACAAAAGGGAAGACGACGTAATGGGAGTCTCGGGGGGTTTTGTTTGCGGTGCAGACTCCCGTGTCTGCACCTTTTAGCTGTTTGTAGGTTGATTGTAGGTTAAGACTGGTCATGGCTCCTTACTTCAAACTATAACCGTTTCGTTCTTTGTTATCCCTAAGGGGCAAGTCTTTCTCTGGTTCGAAAAGCAATGTGAACGTGAATTAAATTCTTCATTTCTTGGGTGATCCTCCGTATCGGGGGGACTTCAAGGGTTGCAAAATTTTCACTTTGGAATATTTGTATGCCTTGACAGTGTGAAGGAAGCATGAGTTTTATATCTAATAGACTATATATAGACTCTCTCTCTCTCTCTCTCTCTCTCTCTCTCTCTCTCTCTCTCTCTCTCTCTCTCTCTCTCTCTCNTCTCTCTCTCTCTCTCTCTCTCTCTCTCTCTCTCGCTCCCTCTCTGTCTCTCTCTCTCTCTATTTGACAATATATATGTATATATATATATGTATATATATGTATATTTTATATATAGGTAGTGAATGGACAGACTGTTGTGACAGGTAACATCATACTATCATGTCCGTTCCAGTGGGGGAGGCTATGCATCTATTGCTGTACATTATTATTTTGGTGATTGCTTGGTTACAGTCTCCCTTGTTTGGTCTAAAGTCCTAATTTCCTAAACATGAATATTATTGCCTATCTTCTTATTCCAGTCCTGTGTGCTACTTGTGAAGCGTCATGAAGGGTGCAGTTAGTCGAGATTGGTCACATCTTGTGTCCAGTGGGGAAGCTGTGCATCTATCTCTTTTTGACAAATAAAGCCTATTAGAGCGGAAGCCAGATCGAATTCAATCGATTTTTTGCAGAGAAAAAATATTGCGTAAATAATATCAAACTAATCTATTGCGTGCTTTATCAACTTGCTTGATTCGATTCATCAAAACTTCTGTTTTTGGGTTTGGTTTTGGATTTTTTGTAAAGTTCATTATTTTGGTGATTACTTGGTGACAGTCTCCCTTGTTTTGGTCAAAAGACTCTAAAGTTATAAACATGTCAAGGATTGGTCATGAATAGTATTGCCTATCTTCTTATTCCAGTCCTCCTGTGTCGTACTTGTATAGCGTCATGAAGAGTGCAATTGGTCGAGATTGGTCCCCTCTTGCTGGGATGTTTGAATCGTGTGCGCTTCTTTACTGTTTCTTTTTAACTAGAGATTAACTATGTCAAGGATGCTAGCTTTCAATCTAGCGGCCATCTTATGAGATATACCTTCATATAACCGATATCTTCAACAAAAGGTGCTATCAATGGACGTACGCCAGAGGCTACCAGCCTAAAGCTTGCAATTTTTTTATAAAAAATCCACTTTTCTTCTACAGATAAAGTTTGATTCATTTCTTTCTTTAAGGATTGACGGAGGTACTCGTGGCCGATTTGATTAGTGCTTGATGTGAGAATCACGAGCAGGTGAAAAAGTCACCTGTGGTACTACACTGGTGTGTTTGAGTCCTTCAGAAGTGGGTGCTTCAGACTATTCTTTTATTGTGCCATCCACCGCATCCACTGCATCAATGGGGAACATGTGCAAATAACCCGCTGTGGACTTCTTTTTTTTTTCTTTTTTTTTTTTCATGGGCTTCGTCCTCCCCTGGTGGTTATTGTTTTGGTCTTTTTCCCTATCGGTAGTAGTGGGCATTGGCCTTCTTCGCTGGTGGTTGGCTGAGCGAAGCAAAACGTGTACCAATGGCAGAGTAAAGGCTGTAGGTGACCAACAAATTATTTTATATTTAATTTGTAAACTACTAAATGAAAGAAGATGAACCTCCAACAGTTATAGCTGCTGAAAAAAAAAAAAAGAAAAAAAAAAAAGAGCTAATCATATGTGAGCAACAATTCTATATTATAAAGTATTATAATTTATAAACTGGCATATCGTTGTTGAAAGTGAATTTCTTTTTCTTGTGTGCTTTTTTTTAAACTGGTACTGCTGCACACGTAGAAGAAATGACATTAATTCCATGGAAATAAATGTCATGATATTGAGTTTTCCTGTCCTTCTGGACATCCATTAAAATTGGAACGATACAGAGAAGGTGGGGGGCACAATTTTTTATTTATGCGTGCCATCCTTGCCCAGGCGCTATGCCAATCTTCTCAGTATCTTTTCAATTTTAACAGACGTCCTGAAGTACCACACACAAAATTAAAAGAATGATTTTCAGTTTCTATCCTTTTTTTTTTTTTTTCACAAAACTAATCTATATTTTTATTTTTCACTCGTATAGCTCACTCTACCTACCTACCTACATATATGTCCAGTTTTTCCAGCGGACGCTGGACCCGGTTTCCAGCAGGTGATGCTCCTCACCAATAGATGGAGCGGCTACTTTATAAATTAAAAAAGAAAAAAAGAAAAAAAAAGCATCACCAATAGATGGAGCGACTCAAAAGATTTTTTATGGGTTGAGTTTCCAGCCTTCCCAGCCTATTCTGCTCTATGCGGGGAGCAGCACCAGTACCCCGGCGCCTAACACCTGGCATGAGCTGGAAAGCCTAACCAACCTGCACAACCAGCCAATAAAACCCAAACCCGAAGCGCATCACAGGGGGGCGTGGGGGATCGAATGGACGACGTGGGGAATCGGACCCACGACCTCCTGAATACCACTTGCATGCTCAATCAACTGAGCTAGCCCGCTTGGGCCTCTTTTTTGTTTTTTATTTCCTTATATATAAGTTCTATTTTATTTTAATTAACATTTCTATTTCAGCACACCCCGCACCACACCAGTGCACCATGACTCACGTCATCGCAGGATTGAGGCACGAGCAGATTGCAAACTCAAAAGAGAAAACTACTTTTCAACTGGATGAGGCAGAAGGGCGATGCTCTGGGTAAATTGGGCTCATCTTCCAGATGCTCAGGGTAAATTGGGCTCATCTTCCAGACTACCGTTGTGACCCCCAATAGAACACATGCTCCTGATAGCTGCTGCGCATTTGGGCCAAATTTCAGTCTAACTAGAGCCACAAAAAAAAAAAAAAAAAAAAAAAAAAAAAAAAATCGCTGTGCACTCTGTTCGGGTGACGAAGGTAGTCAATTACTCAGCAATGCGTTCTCTGCACAGAGATGTATTCTCCGTGAGATGTACCAAGTTTTTTTTTTTGCCCTTGTTTTTCTTTTTCTTCGTTTTTCTTTATTTCGTTTTTCGTTCTTTTGATTTCCTTTTCCAACTTTTTTGTAAGAAACCCCAGTATGGAGAGAAGGCCCATTTTTAGAGGTAGTATGAGCATCCCCCGAAAGAGGAGTTTTATCGGTTTCGATGGCTCCAAGCTATTGGTGCGAAGCCGCACGTGCAGGAAACCTTCTCCAGCATCTCAATGACAAAATTGGATCTTGAATTAGCTTGACATGTGAAAGCATATTGGTTACCCTCCCAGGCAGGGAATTGACTGCCCTGGCACATCTTCTTCTTTTCTTTTTTTTTTTCTTTTTTTTTTCAAATGGGAACAAAGCTCCAATCTATTCGTGGGGAGCAGCACGTGCTGCGAACCGGGCCCAGCGTCCCATATAGAAAATTACATAGGATTTTGAAAAAATGTGAGAGTTTGCGGTACCGGGGCCACTACCCGGCTTTGGCTAAGAGCTAGATTAAGAGATGCAACAAACTACCGAAAATAGGCAAAAATTCAGGAGAAGACTCAGACCCCCCTCCATCCTCATTACCTCACTCGGGCAAGTCTTACTGCAGCAGAGTCACCATCTCTGCTGCTGCTGTACCCTATTACCATCCTACCAGCTGGCCCCCTCACTAGTAGGACGCTTGATATCCAACCTTCTTCTCCCACTCACCAATGCAAAGTTTCAGGAAACGTCTCAGAAACCCCCCATAGATCCTCTTTACCTCACTCTGGCAAGACTTAGTGCAGCAGAGCCACCATCTCTGCTGCTGCTATACCCTATTTCCATCCTACCAGCTAGCCACTTGTAGGACGCTTGATATCCCGCTATGATCTACATCCAACACCAACCAGCGTCGTTCTGACTGCAGATTTATGAATATAACAGCATCTCGAGACCCACCAGAAGCAACTGAAAGACAATTTTGAAGGTTTGGGGTACCGGGGCCATTACTCGGCTTTGGTGAAGAAAAATTGGAGCCAGACTTCAGGAGACGCCTCAGAAAACCCCATCCATCCTCCTTACCTCACTCCGACAAGACTTACTGCCGCAGTGCCACCATCTCCGCTGCTGCTGTACCCTATTTCCATCGTACCAGCAAGCCCCCTCACTAGTAGGACACTTGTTATCCCACCATCTATTTCTCCCAGTCACGTAAGCAAAAGTTCAGAGAACGTCCCAGAAACCCCCATCCATCATCTTACATCACTCTGGCAAGACTTACCGCAGCCGAGCCACCATCTCCGCTGCTGCTGTACCCTATTTCCATCCTACCAGCTAGCCGCCTCACTAGTAGGACGCTTGATATCCCACCATCTACTACCAACACCAGCCAGCGACGTTCTGGCTTCGAACCACCACAGATCTATGAATATAACCGCATCAGAGTAGCCCACAATGGATAGCAAGAGCCCCCCAGAATCCTGAAGCGACCTCAAGACCACTAGAAGCGACTTACACAAATCAACTTACTCATGAAAAAAGAGACCCTTATCAGTGTTAGGAATCCTATCGAGCGGGCCAAGACTTCATGAAGTCCACATTCTCGCCACCTCATCTACCCAAAATAAACACACACGGTGAGACAATCTATACGAGAGTTTCTCGTTCTCACCATGCGTGTTCAGAAACAGTTAGTCATACGCAACTCGTATTAACAATCAGACAACGAGATTGGCATGCATTGGGCCTGCATTCCATCATGCATTTGTAATATAAGAAATACAAAATCATATCAAACGATTGTTCATACATGCATATCATTTCTCCTAGCTCAGATTTAGTCAAGAAGAAACCGCAGATTCATATAATCAGAAACGGGTGCATGCATATTAATCTGGGGTAGTACATACAGCCTGATACAGGGGTATACCTGAGGCGATGGGGATAATCTCGCTTATCCTAACACTAGTCAGTTCGATTTGCACTTAGACAGAGCTTCCTCACAGACTCTTTATTTATCTCACTCTCTTCCCTTTCCCGTGGCCAAGGCCATCGCCAAAGTGCAATCAGACAACATAATATAGTCATAGTTTGCTGCATCCACTCACTCGATTGACAACACACAACACTCGCTCTCTCTATTGGCTGCGTACAGTATTTGACTCACTCGATTGGTTGTGAACAATGCCCGCTCACTTGATTGGTTGCGCACTGCACAACTCATCTAATCGGCTGCGGACAACACCGCTTACCTGTGGCACACCGGTTTTCATCCAACTCACGGCTATAATCGATGATAAAGAAAAAGAAAATAAATAAATAAATAAATAAATAAATAAAACATGAAAGACGGATATGCAAGGAGTATGAGTGGAAACGATATGGTGCAAGCTAAATTGCGAAATAAGACAGATGTCCAAGTAGTCACGTACAAACAAAGAGCACAAATGCACCAAGATTTCATCCAAATAAGAGCAATACAATGAGCTTTTGAGCCAATGTTCAAGCCCACAGGCCACACCAACACACTATCCAATGTAGCTCCTCTCTATCGGGCGCCCCCACGCCCAATCTACACAACTTGCCTTATCCTTCCACAACTGTATTCACACAACAGGCTCACTTCGACCTTGAAGACCAATGTGCATGACGTCAATACCATAGTCGACCTCTCACACACCAGGTATGTATCTTTTTCCTTCTTTCTCTT